AATCCCTCCCCTATGTATTTTCACAAGGGAAATGAAAACATTTGTCCACTAAATGACGTGTATGCAAGGGTTCATAGCAAGTTTATTCAAGATAGCCCCAGAGTGGAAACCACCCAAATGCACATCAAATACTGAGTGGATAAACCAATTATAGTACATCCACACAATGGCATACCTCTCAGGAATAGAAAGGAATGAACTACTGATGCTCGCAGGTATGAATGAACTTGGATAAACCTAAAAAGCGTTACGCCACTCCCAAAAGACCACACACTGTGAGATACCGAAAAGGCAAAACCACAGGGACAGAAAACATCAGTAGTTGCTGGGGCTGGGGGAGGGGATTGACTGGAAGTGGGCACAAGGGGACTTTCTGGGGTGATGAGAATGTTCCATATAGCAACTGTGGTGGTGGTAGCTCTCTGTATACATTTGTCAAACACGTTGAACTGCGCACTTTTAGATGAATTTCCATGTATGTAAATTATATCTCAGTCTAAAAAAAAATTTTTTTTAATTACATAACCTAGGTAATGGGAAGAGACCCTGGTGGCGCAGTGGTTAAGAGCTCAGCTGCCAATCAAAAGGTTGGCAGTTCGAATCCACCAGCCGCTCCTTGGAAACCTGATGGGGCAGTTGTACTCCATTTAGCAGCCGAGCGCTTAGCCACTGCGCCAACAGGGCTCCTTTATACAGGAGTAAGATGGGATTACTATTGTTCCTAAAAATATGATTACCAATAATAATGTTAAAGGAGAGCTGGCTGACAGAAGGTCACATCAGTTTATCTGGGAGCAGTCTGCCTCTTAGGGGCTGCTGCCAAAAACCATTCAGTGGCTTCCATCGCTATTGGAGAGAAGACCAAAGTCCTTCCCACGGTTGGCGAAGCGCTTCCTGCTGGTCTTCCTCAGGGCTCTTCAGCCTCTGCTTCAGAACACTTGGCACACTCCTGTGTTTACCCCTGTGATTATTGAATAAGATTTGCTACCCCCTAGATGGTGAGCCCCATGAGGGGATGAACTTAATCTGCTTTCCTGTTTGTTCACTGATGGGCTCCTAGCAATGTGCTAAAAAAAACAAAACCAAATCTGTTGCTGTCGAGTCTATTCCAACTCATAGTGACCCTATAGGACAGAGTAGAACTGCCCTGTACGGTTTCCAGGGAGTGGCTGGTGGATTCAAACTGCTGTTTTTGGTTAGCAGTCGAGCTCTTAACCACTGTGCCACCAGGGCTCCTCAGAATTGTGTTGGCACATAGTAAATCAAACTCATTGCCATCAAGTGGATTCTGACTCACGGAGACCCCATGTGTTACAGAGTAGAACTGCCCCCATAAGGTTTCCTTGGCTGTA